CCCCCCTTGGACCATCCCAACTCATGCAGATCCACATTGTCAGCCCAGGTAACCCCCAACAACCCACACAGACCTCCATTGCCAGGCTACATGCCCCCCTCTAACCCATGCAAGCCCATTTCCAGCCCATGCGTCCCCAGTGGGTCATGCAGTTGCCTCCCCCACAACCCACTACAGATTCCATGGCCAGGCTTTGCAACCTCCCCCTCAAACCCATTGAAACCCCCATCTCCAGACTCCAACCCCACTGGCCATGCAACCCTACCCAAAGCTTTGCACCCCCCTCCACCTCCAGACATTGCAGAATCCACCCCATACTTTGCCCTTCCCCCCTGTTCTTTACAACTACCCGCCAAGACCTCAGCATAGCCCCTGCTTGATACCTAAAGCTTCCTATGGCTTTAGGATTGACAACGGGGGTCACCTCCCTGCCCCCCTCCTCACTGCACTGCAGGGGAGCCCTGCATCTCCCTCATCCCCCCACAATACATTGCTGGGGGGGCCCTGCACCTCCCCAGTCCTCCCCCCATTGCACTGCAGGGCAGCCTGCTGTTGTGCCGTGATAACAGGGCCCATCCTTGCAGCACCCTGTCACCATGTTCGGCTCATCCCGAGGAGGGGTCCGGGGGGGCCAGGACCAGTTCAGCTGGGAAGATGTCAAGACAGACAAACAGCGCGAGAACTACCTGGGTAAGGCCTTCATCCCTGGCCCTGTGTGTGGGGTGAAGATAAGGGGCTGGGGACAACACGGGGTGGTTGTGTTCCTGCAGGAAACTCTCTGATGGCACCAGTGGGACGCTGGCAGAAGGGCAAGGACCTGACGTGGTATGCCAAGGGCAAGCAGGAGCCCGCCCCGCTGTCCCGTGAGGAGGAGCTGGCGGCCGTGCGTCTGGCTGAGCAGGAGGCCATGATGGCAGCTCTGTGAGCACCCCCTTACAAATCCCCTGTGACACTCCCCCAAAAATAGACACTCTGAGCCTCCCCCCCCACCCAAAAAAAACACCTGAGGAACCACGCAGTCGTTGGTCACCACCACCAGGAGTTCATGGTGTTGAACCAACTGAACATGCTTTTATGACGAGGTCTCCCCTGTGGTTGACCAAGGGAAGCCAGTTGATGATATCTTTTAGGATTTCAGTCGAGCTTTCCATGTTGTTTCTCACAGCATGGAGAAACACAGGCAGGCAAAACCATGGGACGGTGGGTGAGCAGCAGGCTGACAGGTCCAAAGGGGTACAGCCAACAGGGTTCCATTTGGCTGGTAGCCACGTGTTGCTGGTGCCCCAGTTACCAGTAATGTCTTCATCAGTGACTTGGATGTTGGACAGGAGTGTGTTCTGAGCAGGTTTGGTGCTGCTGATAGAATGGGAGGAGCTGTTGACTCCATCGAGGGTGGAGAGGCCTTAGGGGAGAGATCCATATCTTTCTGAGGTGTTAGGGAAAGGCTCTGCCCCATTGGACAGTGGGCATGGAATGGAGATCATGGAACAGTGGGCTCTCATATGCAGGGATGGGATTTGGGTGGTGCTGTGCATAGCTGGGGGTTGGACTTGAGGATCCTTGTGGCTCCGTTCTTACTGGGGACATGCTGTGACTCCATGGTTCTGTGACTCTAGGGGCTACAAGAACGTGAAGAGGCAGCCCACAGGCCTCAGCAAGGAGGTGAGGGCATCCCCACTGTCCCTATAGATCAAGGCATCCCCCATGCTCTGTGTTTTTATGGGGTCTCAACGCTTTCCCCACAGGACCTGGCTGAGGTGTGCAAGCGGGACAGCGCAGAGCGAGCCGAGGACGTGGATCGGGTGGTGGGTTTGGGCAGCTCCAGGTGGGCACCAAAACGCTGCATTTCAGAGCGACTTTTTAAAACCAAAATGCCATTTTTATGTTGGTCTTTTAATTTTGTGGCCCGTGGATGTGGTTTCTGCCTGCAGTGGGAGCGCTGGGCGGGTGATGCTCTCCAAGGAGGACAAGGAGGCAGCCAAGATGGGGCTTTCTGTCTTCACGGTACGTTGGGTTGATGTGTGATCATGAAAAAACCACCAGTGTTTAGATCGGAAGCGACTGCTGTGGGCATTTTCATTTGTTCCCAAAGTTCTCTTTCAAAGGCAGGGGAACCTTTTATTTTGTGTGTGTCACTCAAAGCATTGGGCAGGCCCATGCACTCACTCTGTGCTTTTTTCTCCCTGTGCTCCAGCACCAGAAGGTATGCAGCAGTCCGGAGGCATCTGGTTCCAAGAGGAAGCAGGACAAGGAGGAGAAGACAGAGGAGAAGCGGTGAGGACCGGGCTGTATCCTGCACTGCCCAGCCTGGGTTGGTGGGTTGGAATCAGCCAGGAATGGCCGTGCTTTTCCTGGCAATATTGTGCTGAACCGAACATTTTGCATCGCAGCTTGGTTAGGGCTTGTTCTGCTTCAGTCTGAATCCCCCTGAACCTCTGAGTCACCCTCAAAACTCCTTTTTTTTTAATTGCTTCTCCTTTATTAAGGAGGCCTGGTGAAGGCCCAGCTGGGGTGGGTGTTTGGCACAGAAAGGGTTGGAGGGATTTGCAGTGCAGGAACCCATCAGTGCTGCCCTGTTCTGCTCCCACAGGACAGAGAGCAGCAAGAAATCCAAAAAGGAGAAGAAGAAAAAGAAAAAGAAGAAACACAAGAAGGAGAAGAAGAAAGACAAACACCACAAGCGGGACACCACCCCATCATCCTCCGCCTCCTCTCCAGACCAGGATGAGAGGTAGTGGGGTCAGAGGGGGAGGCACACAGCAGGGCTGTTCCCACGAGGTGACACCGTTCTGTCCCTGCAGACACCACCGGAGTAAAGCCCAGGACCGGCCTGCATCCCACGGTGGCCGATCCGAGGCATCGCGGCACCGGCACCGCCGTGACACGGACTCCTCCCATAGCAGCGGGGCTTCGGGCAGAAGCCCTTCCTCCCGCCGCCGGAGGGCACGGAGCCGCAGCAGGAACGGCCACCGGCACACATCCCCACGGCACAAGGGCAGGAGGAGGAGCAGGAGCCGATCTCGATCCCACAGGGCCAGGCAGCGTCACGATACGGATTCGGATGACTGAGGGGTTTTCCTGGAAGGGATGTTCCATAGGTTATATATTTTTTAAGGTTATTATCTAAATTAAAGTCAGAGCTTTACAACTGCTGGGGCTGGGTCTGGCTGTTGGGCACTGGCCTCTGTGCAGCCTGGTTATTGCCTGCGGGTTACGATATGGACACTGTGTACCACATCCCCTCTCTGATCTGTAGCTGTCACCTTTACTTCCCCTAAGTTAAACCTGGGGCAGCACCAGGAGCTTGCCTTGCTCTTTCCTTTACCTGTGGTATATGGAAAATCAGAATAACACCATTACAGAATGGGAGCAAAATACAGTAGGTGCCCAGGTGCTCACTCTACGGATCTATCCTCTCCAGACTGACCTCTGTGGGGTCCAGCATACAGCTCTGATCCCCAAAAGTCTTTAATTTGAGGACACCTGGGTGTGAGCCACCAGCAAGGCAGGAGGAAGCAGAGATGTCACAGCTGGGAGCTTTCACAGAGACAGCAGGGTGACATGCGTCCCTTTTGGCTGAGAAATGGCCTCTGGCTAAAAAGGAAAGTGCTGAAATAAGTCCTTGGCAGATGGATGGGGTTGGGGCACCTCCTGCACGTGTATGCAGAGTGCTGTTCCCATCTAAAACCTCACTACAGAAATACTGGTATTTGTGTGCTCAGCACATGGCGTGCAGGGTATGGGTTTTAAATCCATAATTAGCAATATTGGTCCACGTAGAAAGGGGACATCACGAGCAGCTCCTGCTCTTAGAGCCAACAGCACGGAGCACAAGGGCTGTGTTTGTGTGAGTCGTGATGCCATGCTTCCCACTCAAGGCAGGGCTGGTCTGTGTGTCTTGGCAGGCAAACACCTCGTGCCGGGGACTGGTGTCAGTTTGCACTTGGGCGGTTTTCAGGGTCTTCTGTTACCCGAGGGGCTGTGCCACCGCACTGCCTGCAGCCCACGTGGAACAAGGGCTGCATTCATTGCAGCGGGGCGAGCTGGAATAAAGCCCTTCTGTCCCGCTTCCCTCCCGGCTGTGGGCATGTGCTTAACCCAGCTGGTGCGGGCAGCAGATGTTGCATGGATTCTTTTTTTTCCCCTTGAGATGTTTTTTTGGGTGGGGTTGATGCTCTGTTAGCAGGACCATGGCGTGAGTCCTCTTCATCTGAGCGGCTGCAGCCTCATGTCCACATGCAATCCATTGGTGTCCAGGCCTTCTCCCTGAGCTCACTGCCTTCAGAGTCACCTACTGCTGTTTTTTGGGGTCTGGGCAGTGTCTGATGCCCACTGGGAGCATCCCAGCACAGGGCAGTGGTGGAAAAGTGGAGCACGGCTGTGCTGCCTGGGGAAGGCTAATGCAGTTCCAGGCTGTAAAAGGAACTAAAAGCACAAAGTCTGCACCAATCCCAGGGCCCAGCTTGGGACACCCTGATGCCCTCATTCAGCTTCATCTCCTAGCAGGGCAGGATCCTCCCAAGGGAAGCACGAGGAGCTGAGCACTTTGAAGGTGAGGGTCAGAGAACCCCCTGCAGTAGCTCACGCCATCCCAGGCTGCATCCCCTCCTGCAGTCCCTGCTTCTGCTCCCACCAGCCCATCTCCAAGCACTGTCTGAAGAAGGCACCTATGCCTAATTCATACCCAATCCCATATCCTAAGGAGCAAAAGGCTTTGAGAAAAAGCAAAAAGGGGTGTGAATGATTCTTGCCCCATCCCCACCTCAGGGCTGTGCAGCCATTCAGCCGCCTCTGCTTTCCTGCCCAAGCTGCTACACAGGTTCCTGCGGACAGGGAAGGATGGATGGCTAAAATCCCTGCGGGCTTGGCCGAGCCCAGGCCAGAACAAAGCTGATGCTGCCTCGAGCAGACGGCTACTCCCACAGCTCACTGATCCCAGATAACATCACTACGGTCCCCATCTCTTCCTCCTTCCAGCATGGGCTGTATGGCTGGGGCTGGACATCACGCAACCCTCACACCAACACACCTTGCACAGAAGTTAACCTATGGACACCCACATGGCCAGCAGGATTTCTGCTGTCAGTGATTACAGTGCTGGAGTACAGCAGAACACCTGCCTTTATGGAGGGTGTGGGAGGAAAGAGGAGTTGGGGGCTCTGCTCAGTGACGCCAGCAGAAGAGCTGGCCCTTCAGGTTCAGCTCCCTCCCAGAACAGGAATAAATACATGCCCTGCTCAGCTAGGCACGCACAGAGCCTGATTCAGAGCTTGAAAGTCAAGGTGAGACAAACAGCCTGGAAAGAATAACCTGACTTACAAGAATTTTGCAATCCCTTTTCACTGTTTGCTTAACACTGATTACTACCAAGTCAAGCTCAGTGCAGGAGCAGGCCCAGGTAGCCCTTGCTGGGAACCTTGAATAAACCCAATTGCTGCCTGCTGCACCCTCAGCTGAAGGCAGCAGTCAGAAGCATCTCACTCTGAGCCACTCTCTGTACAAGGGCAGCCAGTCCCAGAATGAAGCAGTGCTGGAACTCTGGGCCTGTCTGCAAACACACACACATCACATCCTCCAGATGAGGCAGCTGCTTGGACAGGAAACAAAACCCAGGGAGTGAGAGGAAGTGGAATCTGTCCAACAGATGAGCTCGATGGAAGACCATCTCAACTAACGCTGAGAAAAGCAGTGCCAGGTCAGCAGCCCACACAGCTCAGCACTCGCAGTTTCAGGAAGGCAGACTGCACCCCCAGCAGTGCATCACTCACAAAGCCCATCATGAAAGAGGTGGAGAGATGGGGCTATAACAGGAAGCCTGATGGATGCCTTAAGGCAGAACAGGGACAGTACAAAGATGATACAGAACACTCGATACCAGTGCAAGTTTCATGAAACTTTTTATTCAACAAGTATTTCATTATGATTTTGCCAAGATGATCAAATGAACAGCAAGGCATAAAAAACATGAAATAGTTAAGAGATTTTATTCTAATAGCTTTAATTACAGTGCTTGTTTGTCGAAATGAAAACTGAAAACAAGTATACAAAACAGTTGATTACTAATCGTGTATTGAAAGCAATAAAGGTTTCCACAACACTAAACAAACCAGTTCTGATAGTTCCTCAAGTTAAAGTTGAACAGCTCCAGCTTCTTCAGTGTTTATCAAAATACAAAAGAAAAGTAAAGAGGTCTTTTTTCTGATGGCAAATCTGAACCTTGCAGTATGAGGGATGCCAAGGGTTTTCACACATATACAGATATGGGATTGTTCCAAAATGGGATTGAATACCTCTAGAGTGGAATGACTCTCCTAACTCTCATGCTTTTTTTATTCCCCTAGACACTATACATCGATGTTTGGTGTTTTTCATGGCAATTCTTACTTAAGTACAGTACTTTCTGACTATAGAGCTTAGGACTAGTACAGGCTGTGCTTTCTGTGGAAAAGTTTGCCTTCTGGAGTGGTTTACACACAAAAGTACAAAACACTTTTGACAAATACAACAGGCTAAAAATGTGACTTCCAGAAACGATTCAAGTTCAATGGATGCGATCAATCTGACCTGAACCAAAAGGCAGAGGTTTAGCACGAGTCTGCCAACTCATCTAAATCAGGTCTGACAAATCTTGGAGCAAGTATGAACAAATATGAGCTACAGAAAGAGCCAGAGATCTGTAAGTTACGACCTGTGTTCTAACCCAATGGAGCTAACCTGGTGTCAACCGCTGCTTCACTGTTCCCAAAGAATCAGGAACCACCAATCAGAGCTAGAACAGCAGAAGCTATGGCAAATCTTTGTGTCTTGAAGTGTTTTTACTTTTCCTCGACTATTAAAAAAAACCAAAATACAGTATTCATGTTAAAAACCAACCACCAAAATGGACCTCACAGATCTCACAACCCATCCAAGATAGTATTCAGCTCTACTGCACAAGGACTGCTGGCAACCCCTACGTTAAGCCACTCCATCCCTTCCAAGTACTAAACAGTGAGTTGATTCTTTACAATAAAAAAGCTGAGTAATATTGCATAGGAGTACCAGAAACTGCCTCATTGGAAACAAAAACTATTTACATTAAATAAGAAACCTAACTGTTTTCTGGCTTGTATTTGCCACATTTACAGCATGATGCAATATATACTGTGACAAAAGAAATGAAAACAGCTTCCGGCACTCAATACCACAAAGTAGCACAGTTTGCCACATTAGAGTAAAGCGAAGGGCGAATAGGAGGAAATAAGAGGGAGGGGTGGAAAAAGAGGGAAGAGGAAGGTTTATGGTTTCATTTCTGGTTTCGGAGCTGATTGGACAACCAGTCCAGTCCTTCATAGAGCCCATCTCCACTAGTGGCGCAGGTGGCCTGGATGTACCAGTTCCTGTGACGAAGAGAATGCAGTCCGAGTTTGTCTGTGATTTCTGCTGCATTCATGGCGTTGGGCAGGTCCTGCGGAGGAACAAGAGATGTTTTTCTCTCCTGCCAGCTGAGAAGCAACACCTGCCCTTCCAGAACTATTAGTTCTCACTGGCTGTCAGCTTTAAACCCACTTTATAAAGTTAGGAATGCTCAGTTACAGTTCTCGTCCTGTTTCATTCACTTTCCACTCAAAAAATATTTTCTGCAACTGCAGCCTTGATTTAACCTCAACTGTTATCACGAAGCAGTACTCAGCTCAGCACTGCTGTCTGTTAATACTCCACTTTCCTATTCCTAGAAAAGGACTCACAGCTTTTTCACCCTTCCCAAGAGAGCCTGTACAGCTGATGGAGCAGCAAGCTATGCCTCCTTTAAGTTCACCCACAGAAGGGTGAAGCTTTTCAGATAAAAACACAAATACAGACACCTTCCTTTGGCATACCTGTTTGTTAGCAAACACTAATAGAACAGCATCTCTAAGCTCATCTTCTGCCAGCATTCTCATCAGCTCTTCTCTGGCCTCGTTCACTCGTTCTCTGTCATTACTGTCAACTACAAAAATCAAACCTAGGAGAAAGAAGACAGTAAGCATAAGCACGCAGCATGTGCTATTTACACGTGATACCTGGCTCTGGACGTCAGAATTAAGCTGTGAAGAGAAACTATATGAAAAGAATGTTCATACTGTTATAATCTCATGTCTGAGACAAAGCCTGCTCTTGCCAAGAGCTGGTGAGAACAAGCAGTTGATGTGCATGCTTTTGGAGCTCGTTCTCCAGCTACAGGACCACTCAATATTTTCCAATGAGAAGCATCTCTTGAAGTCCTGACAGGACAACGCATGCACATTAAAGGCACAGCAGTGGGAGAAAAGACAAGCTCTCAGTTCACAAGGCTGCTACCGCTTGTAGGAAACAAGAAGTAAGGACTGCTTTGAAGTGACGGGTGGGAGCTGTGATGCTTACAGAGGAGCAGGAATTCTGAACTCGGTGATTCAGACGGACAAAGAAGACTGCTTTCTAGATTTCTTTCCACCCCTCTTGCTCTGTGTTTTGAAGCCTGTGGTTTAAGTGTTAGCACTCACCTTGTGTGTTCTGGAAATAATGGCGCCAGAGTGGTCTGATCTTATCCTGGCCGCCTACATCCCACACTGTGAAGCTAATGTTCTTGTATTCTACTGTTTCCACGTTGAAACCTGAAATAGAAATTGTGGCAAAATCTCAGTTAAAACGGGTACAGGCCAACTATATTTATTTAGCAACTCATGTTCAGAGTCACTACTAAAAACATCACCTTAAAATTTAAGTCTGCTTTTAATAAGCAGCCATACACTGAGGCCCTCTGAACAGCCAAACATGGGCTCTCTACAACTGCTCCTCTCGCCACCACCCTGCCCCAATTAGTCCAACTAATGAACTTAACATCTGTAACTGCTACTTCAGCAGTGAAAAAAAATCAAAATGCGTTACGTTAAATAATAACAAGAAAACCCCACAGGCTTCTGAGGATGGGAAGTAAATCTTGGATCACAGTTCTCAGCCACTCTCCTCCTAGGTAACATGGAAGCACTCCTCCATTTCTCAGCCTGAACTTCCTGAGGTCACAGCACACTGAGCAGAAGGCAGGCAGGCCACCCCAGCCCACAAGGGGCCAACCCATAGATGACTGAAGGGATGGAATGCACAGGGGAAAAAAATAACAAGAAAACAAATCTCCTCCCATGTGAGAAGATTTGGCTCTGCCTCATACCGCAACCTCAGCAATTGTTTGTTCTGATAGCAGAGTGCAGCACTACGTCACTTAAAGCAGCAGTGCTGGCAGCAGAGGTGAGGCACTGCTGCAAACACTGCACCCTGATCCCAAAGAAGCAGTTAATAGAAAGATAAATGTCTTACCTATAGTAGGAATAGTAGTTACTATTTCACCAAGTTTAAGTTTGTACAAGATAGTCGTCTTTCCTGCAGCGTCCAGACCGACCATCAGAATACGCATTTCTTTTTTGCCAAAAAGGCCTTTGAAGAGGTTAGCAAAAATATTTCCCATCTTGAGATATGCTTTCACTGGCCAGTGAAGTCTGGAGAAAGAGATCACAGTATCACTGATGAGTCACCAAGGGCTGTGTTCAGACCTGGGCACAACCAGTCACCAAAAAGGCACCATACAATACCGACCTGTGGAATCCCTGCCCACAAAGACCAGGAATTTTTCCATATTGAAGCAAAATCAAGAGACAAACAGCCCTGCCAAAAGTTATCCTGATAAAAAGACATTGCTCTGATTTCAGTATTAAACTCTGCTCTCAAACTATTCTGTTGGCTTTCAGCACAACAGACAACTTGGGGCACTTTGTCCCTCACTGTTCAGCTTAAGGTCTCACCATAAAGCACTACTTCACCTGAAGTGCAGCTTTAAATGCATGCTCATGTCTTTACTGTTTAGTTGTTCCTTCTTTTGAAAAGGAAACCAAGAACGTGGCTTGGATTCACTTCTACTCAGAATGGTTTCCTTCCTCTTGAAATCTCTGGGAGTGGGCAGTGAACACAATGCCACACAAAGCAGCATTACGTTCACTGACTCTGGAGAACTTTTTTTTTTTTTTTTTAAACAGAACCAATTATGTCTCCAAACCTTAACTACCAGAAACGACTTCTACATTGGAGGGGTTTCTCCCTTCACTTTGGACACTCAGAAGGAATAAGCTCCTGCTGGGGCCGGGGGCACCATCGTGCTGTACTTTTGGAAGGGGCTGCAGCCTCAGTGCTGCTCTTCCACAAGGCCCTGCCACCCCAACCTACCATCACACACTTCAGCACTACAATCACCAACAATCATTATTCTGCTTGCATGAGATGAACAAAGCAGCCTGAAAGCTGTCGGATGTGGCTAGGGCTGTTACACACTTCTACTGCTGCATTGTCTAGCAATGCTGATGTAAGTTTGAAACAAATCAAGTCCAGCTGAAAAGCCAAGCTTAAGACAGCAGAAACATACAGAGCAAAGATGTGTAACGTTCAGGGGTTGGGTTTCCTGCAAACCGAGTCATAAATCAAATATGAACTCTGAATCAGCTCTCAAAGCTGTTCTGTGCTTTACACTGCAGCTGTGTGCTTGAAATGCAATTCTCACGGGACATGTTTTCCAGAACTGCTACTCAAGACGATTAACAAGCTGTGAAGCTGCAGACCAAAGCCTTGCCCTACTGCTCAGCTCTGCCTGCCCTGCTCAGCACCAGGAGGCCTGAGCTGCCCTGCCCCTCCCATGAAGCATGCTGAAAACGACTCTGAACCCAGAGCTGAGCACTGCAATGTGAATGGAGTCACATGTCTCAGCACAAAGCAGCCTCACAGTGCAGAGTCCACACTGAAGTTCCTGCACCACAAACAGCACTTCTGAAGTTGTAACTGGTGTCAGGTTGTTCATTTCACACACTGAAGCTCAATGCAATTGGAACTTCACAGCTCCATCACAAGAAGGGCAGCCTGTGGATTAAAACCAAATTGAAGTTTTGGAAGTTCTTTCACCATTTCCTTCATATTTCTGAACCACTACCATGAATATTCAACAGCCACTTCAATCTACAGAACTTACATAAACAGGAAAGTTAATTAGGAAGTAGAGAAAACAGTTTTGCTGGAGTCCTTGTTTACCCAAATCATTCACAGCAGGAAATGTCTCTCCCCAGCAGCTCTGGCCAGGATGGAAGCTCTGGGGCTTTCCTTTGTCTGCTGCCTGTGCTGACTCTATGTGCTGCTTTATCTGAAAAAAGTGCCAGGGCTGAAGTATTACCTCAAACCAGAGCTCTTACAGTACACCAAAACTGTATTTCTGCAGAAAAGGAGCCTTAAGCCCTTCAAGAGATTCCCCCACACATGTAAAATCATAATTGGCTGTTACATGCTTGGGACCAAAGGCAGCAATCAGGTAACAGAACCAAACCTTAACATTTACTCCACCCCTCTGAGAAATCACACTCTGCCAAACACACTGCACAGCCTTGGCTCTAGGAGTGGTGAATCCCACCAGATTTCCCTTCTCCTGGCAGCTCATCAGTTCCAGACTGCTTTATAGGAGTGCAAGGTATCAGGAGAAGCCCACGTGCAGAACTCCCCCACTGCTGTGGTTCCCACCAGAAAGCTGCTGGATGCTGCTAAGGCAGAAGAGAAGGCATCTGTCTGCATGTCCTTCCTCTAAAGCAGCTAATACGTCTGCCTGCTGTCACAGGAAATGAAAGCCTGCCCCATGCCCGCTCCCTTCCGGAGGCCATCCCTGCCACCACTGTGTAACATCACACTAAACGAGCCAAAGTACCTTGAGTTCCCTCTTCCCTGCCTGTAAAATCCTTAACCAAACAAGCAACAGGACCATGCCCAGCCCTCTGACAGCCAGGTCTCTGCTCTTGGCTGTGCCATCTGACAGTCCAAACTC